TTGTTCATGCTGACCTTTTCTACATTTTAGAAATGTAGAATCCTTCCTGTACTGGATAATTATATTTAAAATTGATCCCAGGCTCTATAATAGCAGAACTTTGACAGAATGATGTAAGAAACTAGCAATGATGGGTGGACTGCTGAGTTCATCTATTACTGCATCCCATAAAACAGGAATGCATGCTTGATCTTGCAGCAAATAAGAACTTGAGCCTTGCTAGTAATTTAAGGCTACCTGGGAATTAAGGAATCTTCTCTCTTGCCATGGAACAACACATGCTATTTTGCAAGCACTGTGCAATCGTAGTGTATGGATTTATATGGCCAGAACACGGTGTTCTGAGATTTGGCTTCTGGAATGTCTCTGTGGAGACACCCCTGGTCTACACCAAGGAGGAGACCTGAGCACTGTTCTGTGTCTGTGTCTGAGGCAAAGTATGCTCAGCAGAGAATTGCATGGGGATGTGGACACCTGCCTACTTTATTTCCCCTGATGTGGGGCAATGCTATGGTTGCAGGCAACACACTGATCACACCACCTGCACCTCTGATTTATCCGTAGAGGAGGCATTGCTGAGATGCCAACCGTGATTCCCCATCTTCTTTTATGGCCTCACTATGAGATCATAGGTTTTATATTGTTGCCAGAGTATATATTCTGTTAGTCCTTTGACAGATTTCCTTGGAAACTGGGTTCATACAGATGTGTTTAGAAGTAATGCATGTCAGAATCATATTTTTTTTTCTGTTTTCTTGGTATGTTTTTTTATTACTATTTTTAGGGGAAGAAGGGAATTGGATTTCATAGGAAGACATGATCTTTGCTTACAAGAGCATCCATCTGACCTTTGAGAGGATACAGTAACAGCAGTGTCTAAAAGTAGAACACAAGGAGAGGCAGAAGTGAAGGTGAGAGGGGTAGTGATTTATTAATCCTTTTCAGATAGCTTACAACATATCTTAGGATACTGAAAAGGGATTTAGAATGAGCTGAAAGAAAGCTGAAACCACTCAATTTTAAACTGGAAGGTCAGGAATTTCTACAACCTTTCTCTGCTGCTTGGTAGGTTAAAACACACAGAATTGTTAGCCGTGCAGTAAAAATATCAAGCCCAAAAGATTTAGTGAACATCATTTCTAAAAACTACATTAATGCATATGCATATTAGATAACTGCTCCCCATAGGAATCATAAGATACACCAGATAGCTTCTAGACTCATAAGTTTTAGTGCACAATGCAAGTACTCTGTTAAGGGTGTAAAGTGGTTTGTTTAATTAGAAAAGCTATTGTGGGAATTGTATAATGCAAACTCATAGGGAGTGGGTTTCTTTGAGAAGAACACTGGATAGCAGGGCTCCAATGGTCTGACTATATGCATGACATACAGATGCATTTCAATTAATGTATATTGTTTCTCTCTGTCAATGTTTCAGAGTATTTGCTAGCTGTCAACATTTCTCAGATGTTTTTTGTAATATGCACTTTTCAGGAGACCTAAAACTGTGTAATAACAAAATGAACATGTGTCTTTGTACATACATGATCCTCATCACTGGGACTGCTGGATGTTGTTAACACTTTTTTGCTGTGTTTCACCATGAATGATGAAATAGAAGAAAAGAAAAACTGTAAGAAAGGAAGCAAACCAACCTTTTCATCAAAATGATTCTGACATTCTTTATGAAATAAGAGAGAGCCTGGGTCTGACATAATAGACATATGCATCTAAATGAGAGTCAGTATACACTTTAAGAAAGTGTGACAAATAATACATTGATATGAATGCTAAGTATGCCTCTCTGTGTGTTCTGTTTTGAACTGACATGTATCAACTAAAAAATAACCATTTAACTGCATTCAGAAAGAACTTTTGATAAGAGTAAGCTTTGTGATGTGAAAGAGTGGGCATATTTCATCTACTTGTCCAGTAATCTTCATGAATACAGCAACATTAATAGAGAAGAAAGAAATGGAAAAACAATCCCATCACCTTCCAACCTTTTTATAGAGGTGTGGTTTGAGTGTTGAATGGTTTCTCACTCTCCCAAGACTGGACTTTTCTTTCTTAGGTGTTCCCTGCAACAATAATCTACTATTAAGGCTAATCCTCAAAAATAAGAAAACTTTTTGATGTATAACATTATCTTCATACAATTTGTACATAAAATAATAAGTTTGTGTTAGTATAACACCTATTATATTGTACATTAAATTACTTTCTACTTAGATGATGCTAGAATCAAAGTAGAGGTTGTCTTCATTTGCAGACATTCTGATTATGTTTTGAAATCCCATCTTATTTTTGCTGCTTCTCCCCACGTATGCAGCATAGAGTTTGTGCAGAATTCACAATGCTGCCCTAATGAACACTGCCACGAGGAGTTTGGATGAACATTTTTTACCTCCGCAGTGGCCAAACTGGTTTTCCTTGTAGATTTTACTTTGGGGTTCATATTCACAGATGAGTGGTTCATAAACAATAATGTCTGTGTTCTGACAACACTGTGAGAAAAGACTTCGTTTGTATCTTTTTTATATAGATGGGGATTGAGAGTCACAGACGTTATTGTCTAAAGAACTATTACTTTTAAGTTGTTTAGCTTGAAGCACTTGGGATTTGTCTCATCTGTCTCTAATATTGCATAGCTTTCACATATTTCAGCAGTTTCCATTGACTTCATATGCAGCCGTGAGTATACAGCAGCTCTGCAACTTAAGTTGCAGATGTCTTAAGACAGACACTCAGAAAATAAGGAATATACAATTACAGTGATCATCTCCAGCAGTCTTCAATGTCTACTACTTCCTGCTACAAATGAACTAGGGCACCTTGAGGCAAGAGTCTCCTTCATTGCCCCATCATTCCTACATCATGTTTCATTTTTCAGCCTGGTCCCTTCTGTTTTCCTGAAATTCTGCAGGGAAGAAAAAATTAAAAAAAAAAAATGTCATAATGTACAGAAGGGGCTGAATTATATTTATAAACACAGTCTTGATTGTGGCACTTCTCATCTTCATAGAATCACAGAAAGGCTGAGGTTGGAAGGGACCTCTGAATATCACCTAGTCCAACCCTCCTGCTAAACAGGATCACCTAGAGCACTTTGCACAGGATGGCATCCAAGTGGGTTTTGAATATCTCTAGAGAAGGAGACTCCTCCATAATTTCTCTGGGCAACCTGTTCTAGTGCTCTGTCACCCTCACAGTAAAGAAATGTCCTCTCATATACAATGAATTTAATTTTGCCTCTTTTTTTTTTTTTTACTATTTTTTTTACTTTTTTTACTTTTTTTTTTTTTTACTATTTTTATAATTTTTGTTTTAATATTGAATTATACTGATAGCCATGTGAATAATCAGTGTTACTGGGGCTTTTGATGCACCACATAAACTTCTGTCACCTGAGCTAACAGAGCAGCTGATAGAGCAGTAGGCAGTAATTTGTTCTGTGGGCCTTAATGAAAGGATGAAACTGTCAGAAAATAAGATAAAAAAAACCAAGACCCTGAATTCTGTTCTTAGCTGTGAAGTGAGCACATACCAGGGAATTAATTTCTAAAACAACTCTTGTCTATCTTGTCCATGAACTTTTCCCTTTGAAACAAATTTTGCCTCAAAACAGCAGAAAGAATGTCTGATGCTTGGAGAGGGCTTCTAACTTAATTTCAAGTTTCTTCAGGGTGTAAGGGTAAGCCACATTCCAAACAAACAAACAAAGGAAAAAATTCATTAAGGAATTAGCAGTGCATTTTCCCCTTGGTCTTGTTCTTTAAAATGATTAAAAATCTTCACAAAGTTAATAAAGCCAAGATATAATAATAGGTATAATCCATATGGAAATTCTTACCTCAACAGCTTAAATTTAATAAAGTTGCAAGTGACTGGCAGACGGGTCTAAGACAGAAAAATGGTGGTGTGATTTAATAAATGAGAAAACATTTTAATTCTGTTGAATAACTATTTAATTAGATAAAATGGGCTATCAAGCTAATATGGAAACACAGAATAATAGAATTATTAAGGTTGGAAAAGACCTCTAAGATCATCTGGACCATCCCCTACAACCACTATCACCCACTGGGTGGTATGAAACCATGTCTTTATTATATTTCTGTGTGGGTCCCTTCCATTAAGAAATGTTACAAATATAGAAAAGGTTATGGTTACTTAATTCTTTCTAGCAGAACAATATCTCATCTCTCCTTTATAATAAACAAACGTAATTTGGTCAAGAAGTCTTAACTCTCCTAGAGAGTAGGGGAAAAAATGGTAATGAACTGTTCAACAATTGTCCCAAGATTATTATTTTTTTTACTAAAGAAAGAAAACTTTCTGAAATAACAGCATACACAATGCAATGGTAAGTTCATTCTAGGGAAAAAAAAAATCACAACATGTTGCATACTCTTGGCTAGCAAAGTTGTTTCATTGTCAGTATATACTAAAAATGATGCTTCTTGATGCCTGTCAATAAATGTATTTGCAAAAGGGAAAAGCTTGACTGTGGATGTGAATAGTAAACAACTATGAAATGAATACACAAAGTATTATATTAAATAAGAAGGTATCAGTCAAGCTAGCTTCATTTCAGAAAAGAACTTTACTAATTAAATTTACAATTGTAAAAGTTTTCAAAGCTAGTATGACAATAGCAAATGTTATGTGCCGTAGATAGGAAGAATAGGACCCAGAATGTATGCTGCAATCATTTCTCTTTCTCTCTGATGCTGTGTTGTTGATCAGATGCAGTAATTTAATCTCTTAAAAATAGATTTATTAGCTATAGCATGTCAATTGGGACATAGATTTATTTTTTTTTTCATATAAGAATAATAAGGCAGTCCAACCTGCCTTTTAATGGAATAGTATACATGAGATTCTCTCAAAATTGGCATTTTAAAAGCATAGCAAGACTGCTTTGCTAATAAAATCATTCCTTTCAACTTACCAAATAAAAATCTAGACAATGATTATTAACTCTGCCATCATTACAGGAAGAAAATCATCACTTGGAACAAAGGAGTTTTGAATTGGAGTAATTATTTGAGGCTGTGTAACATTGCTGTCATTTCAGTGAGATCCTCCTACACTGCCCTTTCACCTCTTATTTAGACAATGGAATTTGGGTGAATGTAGATTTGCTGTTAATAAATTAAATTATTTTCTGTCTGAAATGCTTTCGGATGATTTTACAGTGATTTCTTGGCAACAAATAATTTTAACCTTTCCATTATAAATCCCTCTTGAAATTTGCTTTAACACATAGAAATAGCTACCATCACAACCTTTTCTGTTTTTTTCTCTTCTTTGAGTTTAATATGGGAACCATATGGGAAAAAATGGAAAACAAAACAAAACAAACTAGAAAAGAGTCTTTATCTCTGATTATGAAATTCTGAGCTTTTAAATGGAAATTTTACTAGGTCTTTTTTCCATCAGATTTGTATTTAAACCAGCACTGTTTTCCTGAAATTCACAGAAAAGTGTTCTGAAGAGAGGATGGTTCTCCATACCATGGTATGGTATGGTTCTCCACACCATTCTCTGTATGGTTCCACATATGGTGGAACTTATGACACACTTTATGGTTCTCATTCTCCATATGTGGTTCTCCATACCCATACCTAATCTCCATACCTAACAGATTCAAAGTAAAAGATATCACTGACACCCTGAGAATTTTTTTTAAAGTCACATTGTACACTGAGCAGCCTTTGTAGCAAACCATGGAGAAATCCATGGAGTACCCCTGGGTGATGGCTTCTTGGCCTGCTGCCCCAGTGAGCAGCAGGCAGGTTGTGCTTCAGGTGCCTCAGTTCCAAAACACATGGTGTCAGGAAAGAGTTGAAATTGCAGGTGAAACTGTCACTGATTATTGTCATTCTCCTGGAGATTGCTGGGAGATAAAAACTGTCAACTATTTGCAGGTGTGTAATGCAGCAAAACCCTCAAGTTTTTTCCAGGTGTGCAGCATATGCCAAGAAATTATTGCTGCTTGCTCAAAACAAGAGAAAGAAAGTAGCACAGAACAGCTGGAAGGATGTGTTTGTAGCAAAGGTACCAATGAAATTGAGAGGACTGAACAAATAGAAAAACAAAACAAAACAAACAAACAGTATTTTTGTTTTGTTTTTTAAAGTTATTTTAGGACAGTTTATGCTTTCACCTTCAGCTATAGTAACTCAGATGATTTCAATAGAGTTAATTCAGCTTTACAGTTCTCTCTGTTTATAATAAACACAGAAATCACTGAGCATAGATCATAGGCTCATAGAATCATAGCATGGTTTGGGATGTAAGTGATCATATAACTCCAACCTCCCTGACGTGGGAAGGGACACTCGACCCACTCGACCAGGTTGCTCAAAGCCCCATCCAACCTGGCTTTGAACACTTCCAGGAATGGGGCATCCACAGCTTCTCTGGGCAACCTGTGCCAGTGCCTCACCACCCTCTGAGTGAAGAATTTATTCCTTGTACCTAATCTAAACCTACTTTTAGTTTAAAGCCATTATTCCTTGTCCTATCACTACAGTCCCAGTAAAAGAATCACAGAATCACACAGAATTTCTAGGTTGGAAGAGACCTCAAGATCATCGAGTCCAACCTCTGACCTAACACTAACAGTCCCCACTAAACCATATCCCTAAGCTCTACATCTAAACGTCTTTTAAAGACTTCCAGGGATGGTGACTCCACCACTTCCCTGGCCAGCCCATTCCAGTGTCTAACAACCCTTTCAGTAAAGAAGTTCTTCCTAAGATCCAACCTAAAACTCCCCTGGCGCAACTTAAGCCCATTCCCCCTCATCCTGTCACCCGGCACGTGGGAGAACAGGCCAACCCCCACCTCACTACAGCCTCCTTTAAGGTATCTGTAAAGAGCAATAAGGTCGCCCCTGAGCCTCCTCTTCTCCAGGCTGAACAAGCCCAGCTCCCTCAGCCGCTCCTTGTAGGACTTGTTCTCCAGACCCCTCACCAGCTTGGTTGCCCTTCTTTGGACCCGCTCAAGTACCTCGATGTCCTTCTTGTAGCGAGGGGCCCAAAACTGAACACAATACTCAATGTGCGGCCTCACCAGAGCTGAGTACAGGGGGACGATCACCTCCCTAGCCCTGCTGGTCACACTGTTTCTGATACAAGCCAGGATGCTGTTGGCCTTCTTGGCCACCTGAGCACACTGCTGGCTCATATTCAGCCGACTGTCCACCATCACTCCCAGAAGAGTCCCTCTCCAGCTTTTCTGTAGGCCCACTTTAAGTATTGGAAAATTGCTATAAGTTCTCCCGGGAGCCTTTTCTTCTCCAGACTGAACAACCTGAACTCCTTCAGTCTGTCTTCATAAGGGAAGTGCTACAACCCCCTTGATCATCTTTGTGGCCCTCCTCTGAACTTGTTCTAATAGGTTCATGCCCTTCTTTTGCTCTGGGGGGCCCCATAGCTGAACACGGTACTTCAGGTGGGATCTCATGAGAGCAGAGTACATGTAGAGGTGGAGAATCACCTCCCTAGACCTGCTGGCCATGCTTCTTTTGATGCAGTCCAGGATATGGTTGACTTTATGGGCTGCAAACACACATGGTTATCTTGTGCAGAGCTTCTTGTCAACCAACACCCTCAGGTCCTTCTAGTCAGGGTTGCTCTCGATCCATTCCCTGCTCAGCCTCAATTTGTACTTGGGAATGTCCTGACCCAGATGCAGGACCTTGCACTTGACCTTATTGAACCTCATAAGGTTTGCACAGGCCCAGCTCTCAAGCCTGTCAAGCCTGTTCCTCTGGATGGCATCCCTTCTCTCCAGTACGTCAACCACACCACACAGCTTGGTGTTATCAGCAGACTTACTGAGGTTGCACTCAATCCCTCTGCCCATGTCACTGACAAAGATAGTAGACAGCACTGGTTCCAGTACTGACCACTGGGGAACACCACTTGTGAATGGTCTCCACCTGGACATCAAGCCATTGACCACAATGGCTTGAGCATGATCATCCAGCCAATTCCTTACCAACCGAGTAAGGAATTAAATCCATCAAATCCATTCCTCTCCAATTTAATGACAAGGATATCATGGGAGACAGTGTTAAATGCTTTGCTTTTTGCTAGATGTGGCATCGAGATATTGTAATGACCATTCCCCACCTCAAATCAGTATCTATCTATCTATATATTTGTAAAGGCTGCAAGGATTGAAATCAAATATTTTTCATTGGCATTCACTTCCATTGATATCGTGCTTCATTGAATCTAATCTTGATCTTCCTTCTTCTATTTCAGCAGGTTATTCTCTGCCCTTAACATAAATGACAAGGAAAATAGTTTTCTTCTTTATAACTAGTTTAAAGACATTTGAAGACTGATGTCTCATACCACAATGCTTTTTATGTGTCTTCATCAATCAGATTTTCTAGACCTGTGCTGCTTCTCAGTGCTAATCTCTGGGTTCTCTTCAGCTGATTAATATCTTCCTGAAATGTAGCATTCAAAACCAAAATGCTTTGGGAAGCAGCAGATACCAACAGGTTTGAAGAATTACTTAATGCCTTAGGAGTAAAACTGCTTTTACTACATATTTCATGTATTTGTCTTCTCTTCTTCAACAGTGTGACACAGCTGACTTATGTGCAGTTTTGTAATACTTATGTCACTTATGTTTTGAACTGTTATTTTAGCACCTATACATCATCTACACCTTAAATTATGTGTTCATTGTATTTTGAATTGGATCCCACATTCTCCAAGGTGCAGCTCCAATTGAAATGGTTTATTATCACGAGTTCCTGTAAATATGCAGCCCCTTCAATTTGTAGACATACATAAGTTAATCTTATTCTCTACTTTTCATTCATAATTGAAAATCTGAGTCGCACCTCACAGTCTATAGATCATAGTGAAATCCTATGCAATATGTTTCTTCTGCTTAACCCTATATATTCTAATAATGTAAAAATGAAAAGAAAAATATTTCTAAATAGTTTCAACAACCAATTTACAAATAATTGATTAAAGTGGTATTTGAAAGAAGACTTGCTTTTTCCTGATTATGTAACTGCTTACTCACATTTTAGGTATTCATTTAAATTTTCAAATTGGAAATAGATGATCTTTAAAGTCCCTTCCAACTCAAACCATTCTATGATTATATGATAATTTTCTCCCTAACAGTGTAGTTCTACTATTGGGGTTACATCAATAGTCTTACTAGATGTAAATCATAATAAACATCAATTTACCTCTAGCCAAATGAATTTTCAAAACATATTTTTTTTTGTACTTGTGTAATAACACTTTGTCTTTATGTATCGCTCTGCGTCACTGGCTCAGCTACCACATAAAACAAGTTAATCATGTCTCTTTGCAGATGAGAAAGCTGAAGCACCCAAGAGATTTACTTGAGCTTATAGTCGAAAGAAGAATATAAAGCCTGTTTCCTGAAATGAAGTCTGCACATAATGAATATAGTAAGAATTTCTGGGTGAGCTTTTCCCCAGTAATATCATTTCTGCTGACAAAAAAAATTTACAGATTCATTAACTTACCATTCGAAGTTTTTCCATTTTAGCATGAACATTAAAAAATGCAAAACAAAACAATTCCTCAAACACTGTCTTTGTGTTGATCTTTTTATGTGCATGTGTGTGTTAAAACATTGTTAGTAAGTAGTTTTCAGAGACTTTGGTGACCTCAGATATTTTCAGTACTTCTCTGATTCACAACACTTATACACATACTTTTATATTTTGCAGTTCATCTCTAACTGTAGTATTTGTACATTAAACAAAAGCACATATGCTAAATGTACTCTGTTATCTCTGTCTTCATTTCCTCTTTGTGCTTGTACTAGAGACATATATTTACATTCTATTGGTGCTTTTGCTTACTTTTTTTACTTTCAGTATGAATATTCTGATGAGCCATGTAACTCTGGTCATAGATTTGGTATTGCAATTCTTTATATTTTTATGCTTTGAAAAGTTTCCAGGCTACATATGTCAGTGAGGCTATTAAGTCTGAAAATAAGTGAAGAAGGTATTCAGTAGCAGGGTATACTACACTGGCAGACTGAATATGTATTTTTGGTCTGGAATGGTGTTGGAATGGTGTTGGCCAAAACAGAGGTATATTTTCACATTATCCTAAAAGGAAGCCAAGTCAGCATGGAAACAGCATATTTCTGTCTCCCCCCTTCAAGAGGGTTCCAGCACATTTTGCTTCTTGCTTCTTTGTGTACTTGAGCTGTTTCCCTGGAGGCTTGTCTTTATTGAAACATGATGCTAACATAGTAACTTTCTCCTTTCAGCCTATGTGCAAAAACAAAATTCAGTACTATCAACCATCTCGTTGTTAACAACACACTGACATTTTTGTCTTCAATTTTCCTTATATCACCCACATTGCTCTGGATGTTATCACAGCCATTTTGCCCTTGAAAATTAGACTGGAAAATGTTTCTTTCACATGAAATCTGCAATTGTAACTGTGAGGTGAGGTGAGGAGATGAAAGAATACAGTTTTTGTTTAAAATCAAACTAACAAGCTGAAACAACCAAATGGTTGACCTCCATTTTCAAATAACAGGTTTCTCCTGGTTTTATCTGTGTGTAATCATTGTGTAGGTACTGGGCATCTGTAGAGTCATCAGTGAGTCTGCTGAAGGAGAAAGAAAGTATATAACTCATAAGATACAAGTTAGGCATGTTTATTAGAACAAATAAACTGGTCTTTCTGTTGAATTTGTATGAGTGACATATAAACTATGTATCCTGCTTGATTTCTCAGATTAAATACGGATTTATGGTTTTGTACTTAGAAAATTTTGTACTGAGGAAAAATACTGAGAACTGAGGAAATTTGCATGTCAGCCAAATTAAAAAGTATTCAAAAATAAGTTGCCCTGATTCTCATACAAATATAAATCACATGCTCTTTCTTTCCTCCCCACCCAGTTTCTGAGTAACCAGCTTGTAAGAGTTGAACATCTGTTGGAAGCCCTAAACAGAGTTCTCCACCCAGAATGGCCAAACTCTTGAAGCTTAAACTTTGGTTCTATTTCAGACATAAATTATGATTTATAATGGGACCATTTTAATGGTTGGAAGTTATGTCTCGGAATTTAATGGTGTAGGGTCTCCTAATCTTTACCTGCATTCTCAGGTATTTCATTTAAGGTTGTTTTCTCTTAATTAATTCATTTTTATAAGCAAAAAGAAGAAAGAAATATTCTTAAGTAAAAAGATCTCCATCTATGGAGGACCTGTGTTAGTTTCTGGAAGATATTTTGGAAACTTAATTGACTTACCTTAAAATAATAACCTTACTCCTTTGTTGTTTTCACTCTCTTCCTTATGTGCTCTTAAGCTCTATGCTCTTCACACAGAGCAAATGAATAGAAACATGGGATTAATTTGCTTTCTGTAATTACAGTCATAAATTTGAAGAGATTCTGGGCACCACCCACAACTCCCTTTGAAAGCAGTTAAGGAACCAGGTGCTGGTTCCTTAGAAGAATTTTCTAAGAAAATTAATTTTGTTCTAACTGAAATCAGGACATTAATATATCTCAAAACTTGAAGCTTTGACAGAATACAACACAATCTCAGTTTGTCTGTCTGCTATTAATGCAGGACAAAAATATGACACATTTTACTTTTCTCTCCTTTTAACATGATACTACTTGTAGTCTCATATGCCTGGGGGCATGATTTGAGTTTAGTTTATATATGAAGAGATTTTAAAAAACAATAACTGCACTTTGCCTTTGGGATACCCTAGTCAAACTTTGGGATACTTTGCCTTTGGGATACCCTAGTAAAACTGCATATTGCTTTTCTTAGCATGTTTCTCCCTTTTTTGTGTTTCTTGATCCCCAGAGCTAAAGGTCTGATTGCCAGCTAGACCTCTAGGAAAAGGTCACTTCTGTTTCCTGAATGGGAATCTGCCTCAGCAGACACAACTGTTTTCCTGGTTTGTGTTTTCACATGAGGAATAGCTACTAAGCATTTGTGAGCCTGTTATACTCTTCTCGAGCATCCTCAGTGCCAAGGTTCTTGATATGCCATTTCTGGAATATGCCAGAGTGGAGCTGCAGTGTATTGCAGGGCTGTCCAGCTGGTGTCTGATGAGCCTGCCTCAGCCCCATCATAGCTCTGTCTGCTGCCTGAGCTATTTTCTGCCTTCACATAACATAAAGCTTATCTGCTACCTATGTCTGGCACAAACAGCTATAAGGGAGAAAAGGTCTTGTCAAGAAGTTGGACAGAGTTGGTATGTTATGCTCAGAGAAAAAAAATAAAATTTAATTAAATAAATTTAAATTTAATTAAATTTAAATTAAACAAATTTAATTAATGAAAAATTTAATTAATCCTAATGATTTTTTCTTGATTAATTTTAATACTACCCATTGAATTTCTTTGTGGCTGATGATTTACAGGTGTATATTCTTCTGTAAGTAGTGATTCTCAAGTTTTCATATGCAGATCCCTGAAACTTCTTTTAAATGTTACCATCATTTGCAAAGTGAAGAAATTCTTTATAAGTCCAGCTGCTAGTAGAATTTTACTTACTGGTGACAAATCTTTATTAGGAGGCTGAAATGTGTTGTGAATGAAGTACTCATCTGAAACTCAGAAAAAAAAACATGCTCAGCTGATAACTCAGCTGAGCCACAAACTTCCTCTGTGACCCTGGACTTCACATTTATGCTTTGCTGTCTCTATGAAATTGAAACAGTGCTTCCTTTCCTGAAATGGGTGTTGAGAGATTTATGTTTAGATTTGTTGAGATTTATGTTGTTCAGAATTACTTAAATTGAGAAAGCGTAACAAAAAGGGAGAGAAGAAAGAAGAGTAAGGAAGAAAGGAGGGGACCTATTCATACTCAATAGTATACTGTTATGGCATCTTCCCTTATATGTAGAAGTACTTTTGAACAAATCTGTTTTGTGCTTGTTGTAGCACATGGTAGTGTTGTTTCTTTATAATACAGGGCAAAAGATTAATAAGACTAAAAATTATTGAAATATTTTCAAAATAATCACCTATAATTTCTGTACTATTTATATTTATATTTTATATATCCCCATACATTTGAGATGTGAAAAAAATGTTTGTGGTGGGTTAACCTTGTCTGACTGTCCCATGCTGACCATGCTACAGCAAAGACAGGTGGATAAAATGGGCTGAAAAACTCATGGGTAGAGATAAGCACAGGGAGACTTACTGTCCAAGGCAAAACAGGCTCCACTTGGGGAAGATTAATTTAATTTATTTCCAATTAATAACAGACAGAATACTGAAAACTTAAAACAATCTAAAAACACCTTTCCCTCTTTCCCACCCCTTCTTCCCAGGTTCAACTTCATTCTACATTCTTCTACGTCCTCCCCCACCCCAAGTGGTGCAGAGGGATGGGGAATGGATGTTGCAGTCTGTTCATAAATCTTTGTCTCTGCCACTCTTTATTTGTCACACTCTTTGTCTGCTCCAGTGTAGACTCCCTCCCAGGGGATATAGTCTTTCATGAACTGCTCAACATTGGTCCTTTCCATGGGCTGCAGCTCTTCACGAACTGCTCTGTCATGTGTTTTTTCCACATGGTGCCATTGTTCAGGAACACACTGCTCCTTCATGGGATCCTTCATGAGCTGCAATTCCTTCCAGTAGCCTGCTTCTGCATGGTCTCTCCATGAACTGCAGCTTCTTTCAGGGCATGTCAGCCTGCTCCATGAGGTCCTCCACAGGTGTCAGTGATCACTGTGTGAACATTATCCTTCATGGGTGGTGGTGGGAAAACATTCTCCATCATGGTCTTCTCTACAGGCTGCAGGGGAACTTCTACTCCATCACCTGGAGCACCTTCTCCCCCTCCTTCTTTGCTGACCTTGGTGTCTACAGGGTTGTTTTTCTCATATTTTTCTCACTCTTCAATCTCTGTCTTTGCAATCAGCTGTGTCTGACATGGGGCAAACCCTGGACTCTTCTCACAAAGGTCACCCCTGCAGAACCCCCATTACTAAAACCTTGCCACATAAAACCAACAGAGTGAGACAAAATGTTCTTCAGAAAGAATCAGCTAAATATATCATTTCAATTAGGCCCCATTTTCCCATAAACAGTGTAAAAATATCTTGGCTTATTAAACTTATACTGTAAAAATGTTGACTTGACCATCAGATTAATTATTCTTTTACAGGAAATAACTTCCAAGGATATGTGTATAGAATCATAAAATCATAGAATGGCTCAGGGTGGAAGGGACCTTAAAGATCATCCAGTTCCAAAACCCCTGACATAGGCAGGGACGCCACCCACCAGATCAGATTACACAGAATCACAGAATCACAGAACTTCTAGGTTGGAAGAAACATCAAGATCATCGAGTCCAACCTCTGACCTAACACTAACAGTCCCCACTAAACCATATCCCTAAGCTCTACATCTAAACGTCTTTTAAAGACTTCCAGGGATGGTGACTCCACCACTTCCCTGGCCAGCCCATTCCAGTGTCTAACAACCCCTTTGGTAAAGAAGTTCTTCCTAAGATCCAACCTAAAACTCCCCTGGCGCAACTTAAGCCCATTCCCCCTCATCCTGTCACCCGGCACGTGGGAGAACAGGCCAACCCCCACCTCACTACAGCCTCCTTTAAGGTATCTGTAAAGAGCAATAAGGTCGCCCCTGAGCCTCCTCTTCTCCAGGCTGAACAAGCCCAGCTCCCTCAGCCACTCCTCGTAGGACTTGTTCTCCAGACCCCTCACCAGCTTGGTTGCCCTTCTCTGGACCCTCTCAAGCACCTCGATG